ATACTCCCTGATAAAGAGACCCTCCCCATCTTTCTTGTAGGCCCCCTTTAATTACTGGAAGGCTGCTGTAAGGTCTCCCTGAGCTGGATGCAGAACCACAGGTGAGGTCTCACCAGAGCGGAGCAGAGGGGCAGACTCCCCTCCCTCGACCTGCTGGCCACGCTGCTGGTGATGCAGCCCAGGACACGGTTGGCTTTCTGGGCTGCGAGCGCACACTGCCGGGTCATGTCCAACTTTTCGTCCACCAGTACCCCCAAGTCCTTCTCTGCAGGGCTGCTCTCCATCCCTTCATCCCCCAGCCTGTATGGATAGTGGGGGTTGCCCCCACCCGGGTGCAGAACCTTGCACTTGGCCTTGTTGAACCTCATGAGATTCATACGGACCCACTTCTTGAGCTTATTGGAGCTGATGACTGCACTATTTGTATGGGAATCAATGCATTCAGAGCATAAAGTCACAAATGGGATGAGTGCACCTTAGTTCTTCTCCTCCTCCATCCTGACCTGATGTACAACCTCAGGGAAGTCTCATAACTTACCCCAAGCCTCTTTGTATCCCTCTCTGCGGTGCTATTTCAGGAGTTTAAGTGGTTCTGTCTGTCACATCACCCTTTCTTTTAACTGTAAGAAAAATGTAAAAGGACATTAATATTAAATGGCTCCATGCTTTGGTCACGGGTTGTAATTTTCATTTCTTCATCTATCAGCTGCTGTGTTTCAAGCACTGTTGGATAGGAGCATTTTTGCCCAAGGACTTGATTCATGAGATGAAATTGCAAAATGACTCTTCACCAGCTCTGGGCAGAACTGGAGATGTCTCATACCAGTGACAAGAATAATGAGCGAGTCCCAGAACCTGCAAAAAAAATCATTGCCTTTTTGTAACGAAGAGTAGTATGTGGGTAATGATTTTGACCTTTCTCCTGCTCATTTTGAAACTGGAAAGAAAATTTCTGACTTCACGGAGTGAAAGGTTCTTGCTCAGCACTTGCTAATTAAATGTCTACCTTGCAGCATCACTAAGGTTAAGGCTGGTGTCACGACCTCACATACCCAGAGGAAGATTACTCCTTTGAGATGTTAAGGCTAATTTTGTGATCTTTCTTTGCAAACCAGCAGAGTCTGTCTCTCTGCTTCTCCTCTGTTACAGTTCTCGGTACCAATACATGAATGCATTCATCTCACACACCCAAATTTCATTTGAGATTCTCCTGATGCCAGTACTCCTAGAGACAATACATAAATCAGGGAAAGACCTAATGCTCATAAAGGTAATGTTTCAGTGATCTCTTCATCACAGGAACTCGCTTCTGACCCTAAAAGCACTTTTTTTCAGCTCAGCACTGTGGCCCACCTGAAAACGCAGAGAGCAGAGGAAACACACATCAGTTCTCTCCGACAGAAACGGATGTCGTGGCACTGTTAGACACTGAGAACTTATTTCTTTTCTGTTGCTTGTACTAACCGTCAGTAAAATGAAGAAAGCCCTCTGCATGCAGCGGCAGGGGAACAGGTCCCTACCATAACAGTTTTATTTTCCCAGTCAAGGGAGAGGTCTGTGGAACTGATTCAGGGTGGTTTCATATGCTACAGACTATTCCCAACCATTTAAATCTTAGGCTCAAATTCTAGGCAACACTTTGCTAACCTAACTAGATGGAAAAAGCAATTCACTGAACTAAAACAAGCTGATAAATGTGCCAGAGACAGAGGGATTCAAGCCGATGAGGTCCAGGGAGGGTGGGAGACGCCAGACCCACGTCCCCACGCTGTCTTCTCTCACACCCAGACAGCCCCTGCCTGGGACCATGCTATAAACCAGCCAGGACAGGTAAATAAGAAACATGGCAAATAAAATGTAGTATAATCCACACTGAAAGGGAAAAAAACCCACCCTCAAAACCACGTCATAGATTTTATGATTTTAAATTAACTTTATCACAGAGAAGTATTTAGAAAAACAATATAGCTGTAACAATGAAGTCCTCAGCTTACTGTGAAGCTGTATTAAAAACAGGATGCACATGGGATAGGACTGGGAATTAAAGATTGGGAATCTTGTGTTCCAGCATTTGCTATTTATCTCCAAAAAAAAAAAACCAAGCACAGAGTAATATTTAGCAAGTGCTGTGAGAAGTGCTGGAAGTGGTCACCAGTGGAAATATGGGGACAGTTTTAACTGAGAATAGGAATGGTTTAAAATAACATGTCACCCTGCCTTTTAACAGCAGCAGCATTTATTTGAGGGAGAGAGCTGCAAGACTCCAATGCCTGGTTTGCCTCTGCCATTCTGGTGAGGATCAGGCAGGGGTGAAAAAAACAGGAAAATTGGAAAAAAGGAAAATTGGTGATTCCCAACAAGTGGGTGTTTTACCCTCCCTTGCTCCACACCATGGCTCATCCTGCCCTGGATGTCAGGGACGAGGTGCTGGGTCAGCCTGCAGCCGGGATGATGGAGGCGAGGAGCAGCCGGATGGTGGGAAGGCTGTGAGTCTGCGAGGGGCCAGCGTGGGGACGTGTGAGGGGCCAGCGTGGGTCTGTGAGGGGACAGTGTGGGGACGTGTGAGGGGCCAGCATGGGTCTGTAAGGGGACAGTGTGGGGATGTGTGAGGGGCCAGCGTGGGTCTGTGAGGGGCCAGCGTGGGTCTGTGAGGGGCCAGCGTGGGTCTGTGTGAGAGGCCAGCGTGGGTCTGTGCGTCTGTGAGGGGACAG